GAACTAGAGGAGTCAAACCCAAGTCCTTTGCGACCCTTATGTTTGGTCGTTTCAAGCAGCTTGTTCACTGCTTCTTGGGACTTGAGTATCCCTAGCTCTTTGTTAAGGGATTTCACCTTTTCAGAGAGAGATTCATTTTCAGTCTTGAGTTGAGTGATCTCATTCAGTTGACTTTTCCGACTTTCAGTCAACTTGAGATTCTCTTCACTCAATAGTTTGTTCTCTTCTGTTAAGGATGTGTGTTTGAGATTTATCTCCTCAAAGTCTTTCATCATCTTTTTGAACTGGTCAAAAAGATTTTCAGAAGTTGGTGTGCTATAAGAAGATGAGCAGGAGGTTTGTGAGGTTACCTCTTGATCAGCATCATCTTTGGCCATTAGGCAGAGAGTGTCATCTTCTGACATAGTCCACCTATCCTCATGGTTGGACTTCTCAACTCTGCGCTCCATGCAGACGAGGGCTTCTTCATCCGAGCTTGAGCTCGATGACTCGTCACTTTCAGCAGCAACCATTGCTTTCTTTTTCTTCTCGATCCTTTCTCTTTCTCCGTACTTCTCCACTTTTGGGTACGGGCATGCTGACTTCCATTGGCCAGGCTTCCTGCAGTTATAACATAAATAAGATTCAGGAGGGGAGTCACTTACCTATGGCTTTCCCTTGGATGGCCTTCTGATTGAATCAGCCTTCTTGAAGAACTTCTTGAACTTCCGGAATTGTTTGACCATCATGGCAAATTCCTCTTCGTAGTTCTCCATTTTTGAGCTTGACGGCTAGCTGGAGGAGGTGTGTCACAGTTTCTTGTGCATGTCCCTTCACTTGATGGAATTCTTGAAGTTGTCATCAATGCCGTGGGGAAGGGAGTGATTTGTTCTTCCTTCTTCTTTTTCAGCTCGTGCTCATAGGTTCTGAGTTCATCAAGGAGACCTTGAACAGTGTAGTTTTCCATGTTTCTTCCTTCTTCCATGGCTGTGGCTTTGGTGTACCACTCAGTTGGGAGTGATCTCAGCAACCTTACATTCTTTTCTTTGGGAGAAAGAACGTGGTTAAGTGAGGCAAGATCATTCAAGATTTTGTGGAACCTTTCATCCAACATATCAAATGATTCTCCGGGAAGCATTTTGAAGCCTTTGAACTTCTCAAGTAGGACTTCTATCTTCTGCTTTCTCAAGTCCTCTGATCCCTCACATAGCTTCCCAAGACCTTGCCATATCTCCATGGCAGTCTTGAGATGCTTGATTTTGGAGAAGGTGATGGGATCAAGTGTCTTGAA